CTGAGTAGTCTGGGTATTTACCACCTAGATGTCCTTTTCCCCAATCTGGAAGGGTGCTGTGGAGTCCCAATACGACATCCTAGTAGACTGCTATGATAAGCAAGTTCCTTAGAGCTATGAGAAGAGCTAGTGATTACAGCAGGTATAGCATCTCCCTACAACACGAGACGAGGCTGCGAGTTTAAGGTAAGAAGGTCTGAAGGTTTATTGGTACAGCTTGAGTTTTTATACAGTTTTTCCCCACAAGGTTGACACCCAGGTGGACCTTGTGGGGCAAAGGACACAAGATTAACAAGTGAATGAAAACAGGGGTTTACATTCAGACACTCCCATACAGTGTACACAAACCCTCCCCTCCGTTTGGGAAATAATTGAGTTAATTACTGTATCAACTCAATTATCTCCAAATGAAAAATACAAGTTTTTACCAATTTTCTGAAAACACCCCAAAAACATATGGGGACCTCATAAATATTACATCCCCTGATAGCCCAGATCTGGGTGAATGACATATCCAAAATTCACCCAGCTCAGAGCAGGGGTTCAGAAATGTTATGTAAGTATCTTTTGACCGACCGCATGCATGTTTTCATGCCCATAATAGTTCCAGAGAATGGAAGCGCGGTCATTGGCGTGCATGTTGTGAGTGGTACATGAGTGGTTCATTGGCTTTGTATCTTTTCCTAAGTTGTGTTTCAAAGCTGTTGTATACAGCAAACACAGACTCAAAGGAATCCATGTTTAAAATGGAATGAGGCAAAAATTTGATTCTTTGTTGAACTAATTTGCATATGCCCACCCAGAATCCTTTGCGGTAGTAACATCGCTGCAAATTTGTGATTTCTGTGTGAAAAGCAAGCCTTATGGATTGACTGGTGTGCAGATTTTTGTTTAACATTGTATTAACTACCCACAGATGGAAGGGGTTTTCAATCACAATTTTTCCCCACCATAACTTGGTTGTTGCTTCCAGTACAATTTCAATAAAGACAAAAGAAAGCTCAAACCAATAAAATCATATACCAGTTTTATAAATACTCCTTCTGCTGCTCTCAAACAAGCTCAGTTCTCAACTGAGGTGTAAAAATTACAATGTATTTATGACATCAATGGCTTAATATATGAAAACAATGATAATAAATATGGTCTCGTCAATGATTTGATTTTTCAATTCCTCATGGAGGTTGTGTGGCAACTTCATATATGTAATTTACTTTCCCAATTGTCTCAATATCTAATTTACATGGTTTTATTTGTTCTGGATCACCAGAGCACCCACAATGTCAGGCCTTTAGGATAAGGGAACTAGATCCTGTTTCCCCAAGGCTTAAATGTTGAATATGAATATAGGAAGATATTTAAAAAAAAACAAAAAACTTTCAAAGTGATTTTGTTTAATGAGGCTTCAATCCAATTTAAATATTAAATAGAATAGAGGTTTTTGTGTGAAGCAATATTGGAGGGGGTAAGTGATCAATTCAGTGATGTCATACATATTTACATGCTCCAGCCAGGATCATGTGAGCTAATTTGAGAAGATGACTTGATGTGTATGCAGATACCCCCAATGTTGCTAGTGGTGGAGAAATCTTCAATAATAATCAAGTTATGTGGTCTCTAACTTGTTTCCAGAATTCTCAAATTCCTACACAACTCCAGTAAAGGTCTTCTCCATTGGCCCCACACTTGAAACAACTAGAAATATTCCACATTTTGAGAGAAAAATGTTTTGACAAGAATAATAGATCTGATGTGCTATTTTAAAATTCATTTATTGATTAAAAACTGATGGAAGTAGGTCTGCCGGTGATGTGCAGAGGGGCATGATGTAGGACGTGGAGACGTGCGTGCCGTGAGGGGAGGTAACCGCTGACTACGATCCACATGTAATACAAGCCACCAAACAAATATCCTGCTTCAAACCCACATCGAGACCATGTTGCACGCCGAATGCTGCATTCAGGGCATGCTCTACCAACCCGCTCCAACTTTGATCGGTACTATTATAGTATCTAATATTCCCTCCTGGAGATAATTTTTCTCGCCAGAGAGCTAATTGAGACCCATCAAAAAAATTCTTGACTTATGTGACAAAACCCCTGTTTTATAATGCCCAGCCTTTTTTATTACGTCTGCTGTTCGTGTAGTTAGCCCTTGTGAAGATATGTAACCTGCTACTGACATGCTGTCAGCCATTTTGCTGTTTATCCATCATCTTAAAATATAATCAAAATAAGAATATGTCTACAGATTCATTTCTGGATGTCTGGACTGTTTTTTTGGATTGTAAAAGGAAAGGTTATTTTGAAAACGTGTCCTGTCAGATGTTGCCAGTGGGGGAAAGGTGAAATGTGTGCTCAAGTTGTGAAAGAGGAAGTAAGGCTTATATGTGTTAACTCTTATTAAGCAAAGACAAGAGATATTTTAGGAAAGTAAGATGCATGACTGTGGTCAAGTCATCTGTTAGAAAGATCATGTGATACTTCAACTTTTAAACCTTAAATTTGTCAGTTATGCTAGAATTTAGCCAATAGGAAAAGTGACCATATTTGGAGTTCTAAACGAAAAGTCATTTCCGTGTTCAAAGTATAAGACATGGGGAATTCTAATATGATGTTAAATTTGCTTCTTGCAAATCTCTATGAGATATATCTGTGTATTTTAATGGTCAATTAAAACGCTTTTATTGAACCTGCTAATATTTTTTTCTACTTCAACACCCTATTTCGTCTTTTCCTAAAAAACTGAACAAACTACCGAACAGCCAGACCACCCGCACTGGGAGTGTGCAGCTCATTAATCACCCAGAAGCTGCAGTTAACTACAGATATTTGTTGAACGGCTGGGTGGTTGCCCTTCGTTTGAACGAACACCTGGCGGCGCCCATTTTAAACTGACGAACGCCCAGTGGTGTTTGGTCGTCAATCGCGTGGAACTATTTTCGGCCACAATTTCCCACGAACACTGCTGGGACCCTCTAACTTCTACCTCGTTTGTTTATATCTACAAGAACGCCGTGCCGTTCGGTACATTGAACTCACGAAAGAGACCGACCCCAGATAGCTCAATCCATGGAGCCAATGCTGGATATGTTTCAAATGAACAGTCGGAGAACAGAACTCTTTAGCTCCATGGCGATTTGACTGTGTTTGTGGGATCTGAGTGCTGTTCGACTATATTGAGCGCTCAGACCCAAGCTATCTGGGGATATGTCGAATGATGTGGTTCCGTTCGGGCAAAGTAAAGTTATGTATTTTTTTTTATATAATTTTTTTTAATATAATTCTTTATTTTGAAGAGTTTTGTTTTATGGGGTGAGGGTACAGAAAAAAAACAGGGAAGTAAAATATATGGTACATGTTTGCAGAACATATACATACTTGTTAAGGCAATTAAACAATCTAAGCAGGTATACAAGCTTATCTATATTTTTGGTGTCAGCGTGTTTTGTTTGTACATGCGTACGTTCTATATTTGTGCCTACTTTTGTTATTATTTGGTCGTAGGGTTGGAGTGGGGTGGGGTACAGAAAGTTTCTCAATTAGCGTTCCTTTTCTTTTGTATATAACTTGTGTAGTTGTGCAGTAGGGAGTACAAGCATGTTGACGGTGCCACGTCTTCTTTTGTTGGCTTGTCGTGATGAGTTAGAAGCTGCACTGATGCTAGAGGTTCCTGGCATTGTTGGGTGAGTTGGTGGTTTTCGTGAATGTACATGATGTCGGGAGGTTTTCCCGAAAACCTTTGTAGGGTGTAACCTATGTCTTAGTAACTGGAGTTGTGGTGGGTGGGAGACCAGAGTTTGGCTTTTTCATTGTCGTGTCCTGGCACCCCGTGGTCTGGCACGTATTATCTCATCTGGCGAAGGGTTTGTGCATGTCTTCTTATTCGTCTGTGTTACGCTTTCTCAGTTATCTAGTGGGATGGTCTGGGGTGAGGTGCAATGATCTGGTGTGGGGTTATGGGGCGGCTCTGGTCATCATAGGGCTGTGTCTGTGTTAGTATGCGAGATTGTCGTGGTGCGTATGTTGTCTTGAGTTGGAGGTCTTTGGGTAGTGTCCTGCCGTTTTTTGCAGGGTTTTGACGTTATTTGTTTTGGATACATGTCCGCTTGTGTTAGGTTCTGGTTTTCATGCTCAGCATATGGTTGGTGGTCCTGTTTGCTGTGGGGGTCCCCTTTAGTTTCGGGGGCTAGGACGTGCTATGTCCGGTGTTTCTGTGATGTGTTGGAAGTGCGTCTGTTGGTTACGGATTGGGTCTCTGTGGAGGCTTCGTGTGTGTCAGTAGGCTCTAGCCTTGGGTTTCTATTGGTGGTCTAGAATGGTTATCAGGTGTCGGGGGTGGGAGGAGAGAGGTGCCTTAGGGAGAGGAGGGGCGGGGGTTGTCGGAGGAGGAATGTGGTTCAGTGTGTCTGGGGTGTGTCTGTGTGTGTGGTGGTCTGTTTGTTCGTTAAGTGAGAAGAGGGAATTCATAGAACCATGGGTCCTAGATTTTATGGAAGTGTTTGTCGTGTCATGGACCATTGCGGACAATTCGTCCATTTTGATTGTGTCCTTAATTTTCCATTGAACTGTTTCTATGGATGGTGTGTCTGGGCTTCCCCATTTTTCGGATATTGCTCGTCTTGTTGCTAATGCAATTCTGGCGATTAGTTTGTTTTGGGCTCTGGGTGTATTGGTCAGTGGTTTGGACAGCAACCATATCCAGGGGTCAAGTGGGATGTCTGAGTGTAGAATCCCGGAAACCATGGCCGCTATCTGCTGACACAGTCGTGCTGTGGGGGCACACTCCCACCACATGTGTAGGTATGTGTATCCCTTTCAGCACAAATCGGTGTCTGATCTGCCCATTTGTTTGAGTCTGAGGGGGTGAGGTACTGAGGGGGTGTGGCATTAGCGTTTTGTACACCTGTTCTTTGTGGTTGACTGTGATAATTGTGATAAAATCCAATTAACTAATTAAGAATGATTGATTGATCACTAATTAGCAAATTAATCTATCATAGATAGTTAAGATGGCACTTGGCTTAAACTGTGTCGCACTAAGAAATTCAACTTGTGTCGCACTAAGAAATTCAGCTATGATGACATTGCATAAAATGCTTAAACTGTGTCGCACTAAGAAATTCAACATTGCCTGGAATATTCCATAGCATGTCTGGCCAATATCCAAAAAGGCCCACGTGCTGAACAGAGGGAATTGGTGCCAACAAATGTATGGAAAGATAAGAGTAGGGACATAGATAGAATAAGATACCGCACGTGTCTGGCATGAGCCTTGGGTGGTCACGACTGGCCTGATCAACCATACTGATTACCTAATGCGCATGACAAGATACATGCTGGGCTGCACTGATAAGAAATCTTGGAAAAGTTACAAACTTGCTAAAAGGTATAAAAGACGGAGAAACTTGGCACTCACTTGGAGAACTACCCACCTGTAATGCGGACGCGTGTTGCTGGTCTCTGCTGTTCCCAGAGAGGGTCCCTCCATGCCGACTGCCAGAGTTCCCCCAGTCACGTGCAGTGAGGACACAACGAAACCCCTCTAATGGTGATGTATACTTAAGCTGATATATCCGGATGCTAAGCTGTTTTGAAGTGAATGCATGCAACTACTTAATGAGAGTTAAGCTTGCTCTGTATTGGGTCCCCTTGTGGACAATAAAGTGTGGTGTGAATTCTTATCTGCAACTTGGTCTCTGTGTGGTTTCTTTTTCCTATAGCCCAAGACACTCATCTCGAACTGGGTTGTGTGCCTGCCAATATCGTTATAAACCTTATTAGGTAATTGATTATTGCTTTTTGGATATTGGTGCTTCATGAATTTAATGATTAGGCACAACATTGACGCAGATGGAAACTGTGGCCGTGGCTTCCCATATCTCGGCCCAGTCTGATGGGTCCTTGGCAGGACCTAGATCCCTCTCCCAGGCGGATATGTATGAGAGGGCTCCTTCTTTTATGTTTTGTATTATGTGTGAGTAGAGCGCAGAGATCTGGCCCTTTTGTGTTGGTGCTTGCATGCATTGTTTTTCGAAAAGCATGAGTGGTTTAGTGCCAGCTTGTCTGATTGTTGGCGTTTTTGATTTGTTTTTGATTTGTATATGGCGAAATAGGTCGAAGGTGCGGAATGGTGTTGTCTGTGGAAGGTCTGCGAATGGTATCGGTTGTTGATTTCTGTAAAAATGGTATAGTCGGGTGAGGTTGTTGTCTTCGAATCGGGCAAAGTCTTTGGGTGTTATTCCCAGTGGAAATTGTGCGTTGCGGAGTAGAGGGGTTAAGGGTGAGTGTTGTGTTGTGAGGCCACTTTCGTATGCTGTTTTGACCCATATCTTGATGGTGTTGAGTATTGCAGGGGAGATCTGGGGTAGGGAGGGTCTTGCTGGTTTTGGTAGCCAAATGTAGAGGGAGGGGAAGTCCCTGCCAAAGATGTCATGTTCGAGGTCTACCCATCTTTTGGTTCCGTATGGGGCGTGCCAATTTTGGGCTTGTGTCAGTTGGGACGCGTGGTAGTAGTGCGTGAGATGTGATAGGCCTAGGCCTCCTGCTCTGTTGGGTACATATAGGGTTTGTCTTTTTATTCTTGCACGTCTGTTGGACAATATGAATTTATCAATCATAGTTTGTAGCCTTTTGAAGTCCGTGGTTAATATTGGAATTGGGAGGGTTTGAAACAGGTATAGGAGCCAATCTGCCTAGCCAGGATATTGGCATGTTCTGCAGGGTGGCAATATCGCGGGTGATCTTATGTAGTGTGGGTGTGTAGTTAAGTGCGTAGCAGTTGGATAGGTCTGCTGGCATGGAGATCTCTAGGTATTGAATGTGGGTGGGGTGTATTTTGAAGGGGTATTTGTCATGTAGGCCTGTCCTGGTAGGGGGGTTGAAATGTAAGTTTGTATCCCAATATTAAGTTTGTATCCCAATACCTTGGCGTATTCTTCGATGGTGTGGAGGAGTGGTGATAGGGAGCTTGTTGGGTTTGTGATCGTGATGTGTGCGTATGCTGTTGTTTTATATTCTTCTTCCCATATTTTGAGGCATTTTATGTCTGTGTTGAGTCTAAGGGTTAGTAGGAGTGGTTCACGGGACAGTGCAAATAGTACTGGTGGTAGTGGGCATCCCTGACGTGTGCCGTTGTGAATCTTGAAGGAGGGAGATTGCATGAGCGGTAGTAGTAGGTGAGCCTGCGGTGTATCGTATAGTACCTGTAAGGAGTTCAGAAAAACAGGGGGAATCCGAATTTGTGGAGGGTTGCGAATAGAAAGGGCAAACATATTGCAGCAACACACAATAAATAGACAAAACTGTGCAATAGTATAAAGTGCTTGATAATGTGGAAAAAACACTTATACACACTTTAAGCAATCTGTGTGAACCTTCCTTTAAAGTGCTTCAATCCCGTGTCACTCACTAATATATAAGCAGCAAACAATGTAAATACACTGCTAATAAGAGCAAAAAACACAGTGTAAACAAGTGATATTGTGCGCAAGTATTGTAAAAAATATACCTTACAATAACAGCATTAGCAGCAAATTTTCAGGTAAAATCCAATACATAAAACAGAAAAATATATACATGGCGTAATACCGTAAATTATATCCAAAATATGACTATAAGTGAGGTAGGTATTTGACTCACAAACACAGAGAAGATGAGTCTGCTCTAACTGTAACAGCCTTAATCAGTAGACTTTCACTTCAGCAGGTCAAAAATGAACAGCCTTTATTTCAAACGATAAAATCCCAAATTCACAAGTCACCCTGATCCCTAGTAGTGAAGAGCCGTCCATTCGCTGACTGGATGCAGTTGCTGGCCGGCACCAAAGTTTCTGCAAAATCCTCTAACAGCTCCAGTCTCAATCTGCTACTTCCGGGAGGCGGGGTTTAACGTGATGACTTCAGATGACGCGTTTCGCCGGGTTTAACCGGTTTCCTCAGATCTGACGTTTCAATCACCCATAGTTCCTTTTAAAAATAGAGATCCTAATTTGCTGAAATGAAAGTCTATCAAACTTAATAAAAAAGAATGCTTTCGGCAATTCTGATACAAATGCCTAACAAGTCCAAAGTTCATTATAAATGTTATTTTGCCATATCAGGGCATAGCCAGCAATTACCAGTCATAAAATGTAATACATTTCAGTTTTTGATTGAAGTTAAAAACAAATACATTGGAAAACAACATACTTAAAAATGGGAAGCTCCCTTTCTTAAAGGAATATCACATCACCCTATACAAAATTCAGAATTTGGCCGATGATATCTTAAAGCGACAGGCTACAATTACAATATTATTTAGAAAAACAAAAAAAAGAACAGTAAAAAGAGGAACAACCAAAATTGTTTTGCAGCAAACCAATGAAAAAAACATTCTCCCTTGAGAACATCAAATTTCTATAAGGCAGCTTATTGAGTGCCTTTTGCTACATAATATACCATAACTACTTCATTATAGTTAAAGTCAAAGTCAAATTCATTAAAGAACAACCTACTTAAGAAAGGGAATATCACATCTTTTTATACAAAAAACTGTCCAAAATCTTAAAAAGACAGGCTACATATTCAATGAAAAAAACAAACAAACCCTGCTTAAAATAGGGGAGAGGAAAGGGCAAAAAATTAAAAATTAAAAAAACATAAAAACCATAAAAATTCATTTGTTTTAAAATGAAAAAATTATAAAAAGTTAAAAAGATCAAATTCTATGTAGATATATTGACGATTTATTTTTTATATGGAAGGGCACTGAAGATGATCTAAAATAATTTTTAACTCTATTAAATATTAACAATTGGGGAATAATATTAACTAATTATTTTAGTGTTTCGAATATACATTTTTTAGATTTAAATATTTATGTTGATAATGGAGTTTTAAAAACAAAAAATTATTTAAAAACAGTAGATGCCAACAGCTATGTGTTGTGTAAAAACCATAAAAATTAATTTGTTTTAAAATTAAAAAAATATAAAAAGTTAAAAAGATCAAATTCTATGTTAAAACCATTAGGCTCCAGGGTGTCTAGTTTATATACCCATTTCATTTCTTCTTTTCCTATATTATTAATATGATCTCCACCTCGCCATGATTTATTTACTATTTTAATCCCTAAGAAAATCAAGCCATTTGGATTCTGATTATGGTGTCTTTTAAAATGTGCAGACACACTATGTTTTTCATAACCTTTGCGGATATTATTGATATGCTCGTAAATCCTCTTATGTAAAGGATGAATGGTACGCCCTACATATTGCAATCCGCAAGGACAAATTAAAAGATAAATACAATTTTTACTAAAACATGTAATAAAATCTTTTATATAAAAATCCTTCTCTGCATTTCTTGTCCTAAACTTATTAATACCTTTTAAACTCTTATTTTTACTACACTGGCACCCTGTACACAGTCCACACGAATAAAAACCTTTCTTATCATTTAAAAAAGTTTTTTGCGGTTCTCTTTTTGGGTGATTAAAACTTAAAATCTGTTTAAAACTAGGTGCCCCTCTAAACGTGACACGGGGTTTTTCAGGAAGTACCTTACAAAGTTTGTTATCCTTCTTTAAAATGTGCCAATGTTTATTAATGATCGATTTAATTTTCTTACAATCCTTATTATAGTCAAATACCATAGGGGCCAAACCATTCTCATATTTAGAAACTGCTGCATTATTGTTACTTAAAATCAGTTCTTCTTGTTCCAATTCTAGGACCTCCTCATATGCTTCTTCCACTAGTTTAATGGGATATTCTTACTTTAAAAATCTCTCCTTTAACCCCTTAAGACCGCAGCCAAATATACAAGTTGTGATCAAAACAAAACGTAAACAAAACCTGGCATTTTCGCTGTATGTCTGTCCAACCGTAATTCACCTCTTTCATATTAAATGCACCCACACTTATTATATATTATTTTATTCAGAGGAAACAGGGCTTTCGTTTAACATCAAATATTTACGTATGGAACATAATTTAATATGAAAAAAATATTAAAAAAATGGGAGAAAATAAGAAATTTTAAAAAATCTTTAGTTCTATGTGACTTTTTAACTGTGAATGTCAAAATACTGTTTGCTTTTATTGCAGTAACATACACATATTTGTATTCAGCGATGTCTCACGTGTAAAACAGTACCCCCTATGTACAGGTTTTATGGTGTTTTGGGAAGTTACAGGGTCAAATATAGCGTGTTACATATTTCAGTTTTTTCACATTGAAATTCGCCAGATTGGTTACGTTGCCTTTGAGACCATATGGTAGCCCAGGAATAAGAATTACCCCCATGATGGCATACCATTTGCAAAAGTAGACAGCCCAAGGTATTGCAAAAGGAGTATGTCCAGTCTTTTTTAGTAGCCACTTGGTCACAAACACTGGCCAAAGTTAGTGTTAATATTTGAAAATGCAAAAAATTAATTTGAACGCAAATGTTGGCCAGTGTTTGTGACTAAGTGGCTACTAAAAAAGACTGAACATACCCCAT